CTGTCGGGACCCTCACAGTCACTCCCACTCCCCAAACTTTGTGTATCAAAGAACATTTTATTAAAAACCAAAAAGCTTTAGGAGGAAGGCATTTGTTAAGTCCCAAATGATTTCTGTAAATAAATAAATGTCAACGGAGACTTTTCTAGACCCCCCCTCCGGTCTCCCATCAAACCTACTCTCATGACACCTGAGGAGAGAAAAGTTATGTCTTTTCACAAGTTTCCCCAGAGTGAAGTTTTCATTTGTCCTGTTCACATGATGTCCCTCCTCTTCCTCTTCCTGTTCACATGATGTCCCTCCTCTTCCTGTTCATATGATGTCCCTCCTCTTCCTGTTCACATGATGTCCCTCCTCTTCCTGTTCACATGATGTCCCTCCTCTTCCTCTTCCTGTTCACATGATGTCCCTCCTCTTCCTCTTCCTGTTCATATGATGTCCCTCCTCTTCCTGTTCACATGATGTCCCTCCTCTTCCTCTTCCTGTTCACCTGATGTCCCTCCTCTTCCTCTTCCTGTTCACCTGATGTCCCTCCTCTTCCTCTTCCTGTTCATATGATGTCCCTCCTCTTCCTGTTCATATGATGTCCCTCCTCTTCCTGTTCACATGATGTCCCTCCTCTTCCTCTTCCTGTTCACCTGATGTCCCTCCTCTTCCTCTTCCTGTTCACCTGATGTCCCTCCTCTTCCTCTTCCTGTTCATATGATGTCCCTCCTCTTCCTGTTCATATGATGTCCCTCCTCTTCCTGTTCACATGATGTCCCTCCTCTTCCTCTTCCTGTTCACCTGATGTCCCTCCTCTTCCTCTTCCTGTTCACCTGATGTCCCTCCTCTTCCTCTTCCTGTTCACCTGATGTCCCTCCTCTTCCTCTTCCTGTTCATATGATGTCCCTCCTCTTCCTGTTCACATGATGTCCCTCCTCTTCCTGTTCACATGATGTCCCTCCTCTTCCTGTTCATATGATGTCCCTCCTCTTCCTGTTCACATGATGTCCCTCCTCTTCCTCTTCCTGTTCACCTGATGTCCCTCCTCTTCCTCTTCCTGTTCACATGATGTCCCTCCTCTTCCTCTTCCTGTTCATATGATGTCCCTCCTCTTCCTCTTCCTGTTCACATGATGTCCCTCCTCTTCCTGTTCACATGATGTCCCTCCTCTTCCTGTTCACATGATGTCCCTCCTCTTCCTGTTCATATGATGTCCCTCCTCTTCCTGTTCACATGATGTCCCTCCTCTTCCTCTTCACCTGATGTCCCTCCTCTTCCTGTTCACATGATGTCCCTCCTCTTCCTCTTCCTGTTCACATGATGTCCTTCCTCTTCCTGTTCACATGATGTCCCTCCTCTTCCTCTTCCTGTTCACATGATGTCCCTCCTCTTCCTGTTCACCTGATGTCCCTCCTCTTCCTCTTCCTGTTCACCTGATGTCCCTCCTCTTCCTGTTCACATGATGTCCCTCCTCTTCCTGTTCACATGATGTCCCTCCTCTTCCTCTTCACCTGATGTCCCTCCTCTTCCTCTTCCTGTTCACATGATGTCCCTCCTCTTCCTGTTCACATGATGTCCCTCCTCTTCCTGTTCACATGATGTCCCTCCTCTTCCTCTTCACCTGATGTCCCTCCTCTTCCTGTTCACATGATGTCCCTCCTCTTCCTCTTCCTGTTCACATGATGTCCCTCCTCTTCCTGTTCACATGATGTCCCTCCTCTTCCTGTTCACATGATGTCCCTCCTCTTCCTCGTCTCTTTCAGGTCTTTGCTGTTGGATTATAAACGTTTGGACTCTTGGAGGACAGAAGGGGAAGTGAGGAGGGAAGTGACACCGGGTGAGTTTGGCGCAGAGCGTTGCGCGTTAGCAGGTAAACTGGGGTCCAAGGTGCGCACTGAGCCGCCTATGATACCAACTACCCGGATGGAAAGAACTTTAATGTGGAATCCTCACAGAGTTTTGCAACGGAGGCTGAGAGTAGAGACAGACTGGCAGTTTATATTATAATTGAGAGGCCAAAGGGACAGATCAGACAGCTGACACTCCGTGCATCTCTGCTGTGAGGATCAGGTGTAAGGACCCCAAAAAGCTAACAAACAGGAGCACCTGGAGGTGTGTGTGTGTGTGTGTGTGAGGGACGATGTCCAGAGAGGAGCACAGCATGTCTGATGAGGAGCTCAGTCCTGGGACGTCTGACGACAGCCGCTCTCTGTCACCGGGTCAGTCCTCCGGGGCCGCCGGCGGGGGGGATTCTCCACTCGGGCGGCAACAGGAGTCTCAGCTCGTCGGTGTTGACGACACGTCGGCCGGTTGCTCCTCGCTGAAATCCGACGATGAGGACGAACGTTTCCCTGCAGGGATCCAGGAGGCGGTGAGCCAGGTGCTCAACTGCTACGACTGGACCCTCGTGCCCATGCCGGTGCGCGTCAACAGCGGGAACAAGAACAAGCCGCACGTGAAGAGACCCATGAACGCCTTTATGGTGTGGGCTCAGGCCGCCCGCAGGAAGCTGGCTGACCAACACCCACACCTGCACAACGCCGAGCTCAGCAAGACCCTGGGCAAGCTGTGGAGGTGAGAGAGACACTGTGTTGATGATGTTCAGACAGTAGGGGGCGCTCACTCACTCAGAGTAATAACCAGGACGCTGATGCCGGTAGAATACACAACGTTAACTCTTCCACTAATCCACTAGTTCACATATACATCTCCCTGTTAAAGCTCCTGTAAGGAACTTGGTTTGTGTTGATTTTGGCGCCCCCTGTGGTCAAATTAGTACATACTGTCTCTTTGCTGATATTGTCCTATGAGACGGGAGTTTGGTAGAATGCATTGTGGGTGCTTTCTGTGCTTCAGCGGGTCAAACATTAAAACATATATAAGAAGTCTTTCTTCTTGTGATTGGTCTGCTGCTCATGAAGAGGCATGAGTAGTAACTTCAGTCTGTTTCATAAACACTCTGAGCAGGAGCTTTAAAGAAAGACTTTCAATCTTTACTGCGTCTGATCACTCTGCCGTCTCTCTCTCACAAACACCTTGAAGTTTAAAACCTAGTTTCCCACAGATCACTCCCACCATTTACTGAGAAGAAGTCAGACAGGTTAAATTCATTAACCTTGTAGGTACTGAGGACTGATTCGATAAAGACTTGACCTTGGGCTCAGGCCTGATTGGTTAATTGGACCAGGAACAGATGAACAGGGAGGCTGAGGAAGGTCGGGGGGTTCTCATGCCAGGGAGCTCAGTCTCATGTTGCAGACAGGATGATTCTTCAACCTTTATGATTTCATTAATGACCAACTGTCAGAACCCAGGCAGGCAGGGCCGTCAGTGCAGCTGTGCAGAAGAAAGTTTTAGAGTTTCTTGAGTCATCTCTTTGAATTAATCAGCAGAAACAGTTAGATTGTAGTCTTTGAATTATCTTCTGTAATCCATCTACCAACATGTCTTGTCTTTGTCCTGAACAAGGCTTCTGAACGAGAGCGACAAGCGTCCGTTCATCGAGGAGGCCGAGCGGCTGAGGAAGCAGCACAAGAAGGACTATCCGGACTACAAGTACCAACCGAGACGCCGCAAGAACGGGAAGCCCGGTTGTGGATCAGGGAGTGAGGCCGATTGCCATTCGGAGGGTGAGGTCAGCCACAGCCAATCCCACTACAAGGGCCTCCAACTGGAAGTGGCCCTGAGTGGGGGGGCTCGGTCCCCCCTGGCAGAGGGGCACCACCATCATGCTGCAGGTGGGCTGCAGGCTCCTCCCACTACCTCTCTGATTGATAACCTGTTTCAATACCCTGGCAACCAAAATAGAAGTCCTTGACAACCAATAATGGATCATTTCTAGTTTCAGTTCCTGTAGAGGAGTGAGGGTCTCTCCAGCTCTACCCTCTTGTCCAAACATTGCCCATGTATTTGTGCAAGGAACTTTTGGATTAATTCCTCCCCAATGCAACTGTCTTCAGAATGAGATGTTGATTTTTTTAAGCTCCAGTACCTTTATTAAACTTATGAAGATTTCATCGTATAAAACCTGTGGTATCAAAAAGTAAAACTCTAATTACATCTGGTTCCATCTCTGCAGGTCACAGCCCTCCCACGCCCCCCACCACACCAAAGACTGAGCCTCAGTCTGTGAAGGTGGGGGATGGTAAACAGGAGGTTTCGGGGAACATGGGTTCCCGAGGTGCGATGGGAGCGGAGGGCGGTTCAGGATCTGCAGGATCTGGAGGATCTGGGAAACCTCACATCGACTTTGGTAACGTGGACATTGGTGAGATGAGCCATGAGGTGATGGCCAACATGGAGCCATTCGATGTCAATGAGTTTGACCAGTACCTGCCCCCCAATGGACACCCGGGGCAGAGTGCCGGGGCAGGAGCAGCTGCCGCGGCATCTCCAGCCTCGCCGTACACCTACGGCATCTCGTCAGCTCTGGCAGCGGCCAGCGGACACTCGGCAGCCTGGCTCTCTAAGCAGCAGCATCACAGCCACACCCCCCCTCTGAACTCAGACCCCTCCAAGGCTCAGATTAAGAGCGAGGTGGGAGGAGGAGCTGGTCACTTCTCAGAGGCTTCCTCAGCCGGTTCCCATGTGACCTACACCCCCCTCAGCCTCCCTCACTACAGCTCCGCCTTCCCCTCTCTGGCCTCCAGGGCTCAGTTTGCTGAATACGCGGACCATCAGGCCTCAGGGTCTTATTACACCCACTCCAGCCAGGCCACCAGCCTGTACTCTGCCTTCTCCTACATGGGACCCTCCCAGAGGCCCCTGTACTCCGCCATCACTGATGGGGCCAGCATCCCACAGCCCCACAGCCCCCCCCACTGGGAGCAGCCCGTCTACACAACACTGTCGCGGCCATGACAGACAACGAGACCAGCGGGCCCTGGTGCAGGTTCAGCCCCCATGTCAGACCCCAGGACCAGCTGCAGCGGCATCAGTGTTGGTGGGATCGGTGGGTATGGCGGTCTGGGCCGGGGGAAGTGGGCCAGCACTGGGAGGGTAGGCTGGGGCGGCAGGAGGGAAGACACTCCATGCTGCTCTCGCCCAGAGGCTGAAGGTCTGACCCAGCTCCAAGACGAGTTTGGATCAGGTTGGTTTTGAAGCGTGGTCGATGATTCGGGGCACAGAGAATAGAATTTAGAGAATGTACTTCTTTGGTGGTCCAGGATAAAACCCCCTCCCACCTCCAGGACTGAGCCTCTGGTGCTCCCAACACATGAAGTGTTCACAAGCGGTTTGGATCAGGTCCCTGAGTGCGTATCAGTTGAGGCTCATTGTGGTCTCCTTCAGTCCCTAAGGGGGCGGTCGAGACAAGGACCTAGGACTGGTACCATACCCGGATTTATACTTTGATATGACTCTTAAAACCAAACAATATGGACCCAAAACCCAACAATCTACTGCAAACTGTCTGATTGTATTCCTTTGTGTAATGTTGAGACAGTTCTGTCTCGTGGTGTAGAATAAGTATTTTAAAATGTGGACGACCTAACAGCGACCAGGTTCCACATGAAGGGTCGGACTGAGACAGAGCTAAAGTCCTTGTTCTTTCACATCTCAGGCAAGAATGACCTTCAGTCGAACACGTCGGTCGTTACTAAGAATAAATCCAGTTTTCAGAGGCACGTGTGTTCACCTGAAACGCCTTTTCTACATAAAATGAAACCTGGTGGAAGAAAACGATGGCGAGGTTTCGTTAGATGTTTCATGTTTCTGAAGTTTCAGGAGAGTTTATACGACATGAAATGAAAAAGATGTTTTTATGATGAATAAATATTTGAGCTTTTTATGAAACGACCAAAGTTTAGAAACCAAAACTCAGAGAAGAAAGGTCCGACTTCCTGACGATGTGTAGCCTTTACTTTGAACTGTCCTCGTTATTTTAATGAGACTCATGTTGACTTTGATGGACCGCTGTCAAAACACTTTTTGTCCTTTTTACGCGACACCACGGATATGTGTGGTAGTCTGTTGTATTTCATGTAAAGACGTGAAGACGAGTTCATATTCTCTCTGGTAGCAGAGTTCATGATATGAACTGTATTCTTACTGTTTTAACTCCAAATATCATATCTACTGAAAGCTGCCTCTTCTTTCTTTTGTTTGAATCATGTTTTTAAAAAGTCTTAAATGTCTTTGGATTGAAGCAGAGAAGAATCTCCTGAAGCTTCTAACAGATCAAATTTAAACCCGGACTAATGTTCAAACACAAAATTAATGAGGGAAGAGCTGAATTCCTCGAGTAGCCACTAGAGACTACAAAAATCCCCCCTCCTCTCTAGAGTGGATGCTCACTCAGGTCACCATGTGGTGGACTCTGAAGCTTCAGTGTTTATCCAGCTCTGCATGGGTCTGTAAACCTTTCTGTGTTCTAACCTCTCTCCATTTTTCAAAAGCATCTCCAATATTGATCCTAGTTTGAGCACGTTTCTGCTCGTGGAGCTTATTAGAAACATGCAGAGGCTTTTTAGGTCGGGTACAATCACTTCTATCTGAACCACTTCTCTTGACCGCTTCCATCGCTGCAACACCTGTTGACCTGATAACTGCTCTCATATCTGACAAACCGAGGGGCGTCCAAAACGGTTCCAGAGCATTCAGGAGCAGAATCTAAAGTTAGAAGGAGGACATACTGGCTGCTGCATTGTTGTCAGAGAAGCCAGCACTTCAACATAGCATGTTTCCTTAATGATCAGATAGTAAGATACCTTTATCATTTACCTCTCTACACATCTCACTAATTGGTCCTTTAAATGTTTACAGTCTGAAAAGTTAAAATGTGCCTTTCACTAAACAACAGCTGCAGCATAAGAAGTAACAGTGTATTTAATGTTTAATCATGTCTGTGCCTTTGAATCTTTTTCTCTTCATATATTCATGTTTCTTTGTGTTCTTATGATATTCTGTATTTCTGACTTGTGACCCCTCGACCCCCCATGAACTGTATTTTATTAAAGCGTCTCATTCTCTAAGAAAGTGAAAAGAAAGTCATTATAAGGTTTGCTTTAGTTTTATATTAACACTGAGATATTCTGCATCCTGATCGGACACCGCTCTGTATGCATGCAGCACGCTTTGTTTAAATCTCCGTCTATATCATTAATCTGCAGGTCATTTAAAGGTTTATCTGTCACGGTGATACGATGTGATCTAAGTCTTTATTTGGAGCTCTTCATCCTGAAGAACACTTGTGACTGTGTCTCTGATGACTAACTAATGTTAAATAAAGCTCTTTGATTTCTGCTGACACACGTCTTCATCCTTTCACTTTAAACGTCTCAGTCTGAGCAATAAGCTGAGAATCTATCTCAGTTTCCTAAAGAATCTTCAGACCGTGCACTTCTCCTCCAGAACACTTTGAGAGTCAAAGCCTGAATTTGCAGGAATATTTTTAGGACATAATGAACGGAAGAAGTGTTTTTATTTATGATAAGAAAAGAGAAAGAAAAGAGTCATGTGATCAGAGAGTGAGGAGACACTCACACTAACTCCTGAATGTTTCAGGAGGATTGCTCCAGATATTCTCCTGAGGTAAGGCGGGATGTAGAAAGAACAAGGTGGAAGTAGCATCAGAGTCCTCCATAGGACTCTATGATGAGAATATGTGTGTTTGTATCAATGAATCTCAATGTGAAGTAAAGAGTGGAGAAGAACATCCTGGAGAACAGGAAACATGCAGCAGCAGGTTGATTAGAGCACGGAGATGGTAGAGGTGGCGTGCAGACAGTCTATGGTCGTGCAGCGATCACAGGTGAATAAAGGTCACCACCCCCTCCCACTGGCCCCTCCCACTGGCTCCAGGTGAATTCTCCTGATTATATCCTGCTGTGTTCTCACATCAGCTCACTCTGACTTTCTGCAGAATAAATACGAGGAGGCTGGAGGAGAAACATTCAGAGGTTTGAGTGATCACATGACGCTCCTCCTCCTCCTATCAGGAGGTTTGAGGAGGGGTGAACATGAAGCTTTATTCTGAGTCCTGCTCAGGTTCAGAGTGTTCTCTCTGGTCTCCATACTTGTATGTTAACTTGTGTGTGACTCTCCACAACGTCCAGACGACCCTAACATGTAGCTCACTGAAGTGTCCAGTCCTGAACCTATCCCTGCAGGGCTCCTGATTGGTTGTGAGTGGTTCTGTGCCTGTGTGTGTGTCTCACCGTGTGTGTGGCGGGTTAAACCGGATTCCTAATTCCATCTTTTTAATCGGCTGTGTGATACTTCGGAAAGACAAAGAGGGCCATTGTAGGGGAAAGGGGGGGGGGGACACAATAACGGAGTATTACCCATAATCGCCTGGCCTGCAGCTCCATCACGACACAAAGAGACTCTCATACTCTCTGCACAGACCCCCCCCCCCCCCCCCAACTCTATTTCAGGCCTGAGCTGTGATGACTCTGAAACATTCCCATCGTTAAGAGTGAACCACCTGAGAGGGTCGGGAGTGTCAGACTGAAGAACAGGTAGAAGAGGAACAAACAACAGACACCTGTTCGTTACCATGGCAACAAGACTCATTAAAGAGTCAGGAAATCTCCTGCATACAGTCGATTTAGTCCTCGCTCTCTCTCGCTGCAGCTCGTGGTTAAAAGTTTACCTCTAACATGGGATGACCTCTAACACGGTCTCCAGGCAGGTCATGTACCCTCGAAAACAGGAAATGATGAATATCTGGAGTCTAGGACTTCTGTTTGTGTTGCTATGGTAACAAACCAATATAAACATTGTTTATTGAAGTTTGAAACTCTGCTACAGAAGATAAAGAGGAAGGTCAGAAGATACGGATCAGCTGATTGGAGGACGACCTGACAGTGGCCTCGCTGTGGCGGGTGCTGCTGATGGTCACATGGACCCTGCCACCCCCCCCCCCACCATGAAAAGAGAGCAGCAGCCCCCCGAGGCGCTGTCCTCTCCAATCAAAAGACTCTCTGATGAAGTTTAGTTTTTATCAGATGTAATCACGTCACTGCGGTTCCACACATTTCGATTCCAGCTCAGACTGGATCCTCTTCCATAATGTCTGACAGAGAAACAGGACGACAGTCTGAGAAGGTGTCACAGTTCGGTTCTTCTGCAGAGAGTTAGAAGTAGTTAAAAGAGCTTCATCTGTTTACAAGCAGGAGAGCAAAGAGACCAATACCTGAGCTGTCGGGGTACCAGAAGTTTACATTCTCATGAGATAGAGGTAAAAACTGAACGATATCGATGCCTGGACGGAAAAAACAGAAATCCTAAACACCGGTCATTTCTTGTTTCTAAAGTTCCAGACAAACGCCTGCACACCGACTAAAATGCACAAACAGAAAATGTTGCCGAGCGTGCAGTTTACCTTCAGTTTGTGATCGATTCCTTCCTCTCCTGCACACCTGACTCATGTTTTTAAAGTTTCAGGACTTTCTGATCCTAACGAGCGTTAAAGGTCCAATCAGTGAGCTGTGTAGAGAGTGAGATGATAAAGGTATCTTACTCTCTGATCATTAAGGAAACATGCTATGTTGAAGTGCTGGCTTCTCTGACAACAATGCAGCAGCCAGTATGTCCTCCTTCTAACTTTAGATTCTGCTCCTGAATGCTCTGGATTTGTTTGGACCAGAGAAGGTAGGCGCTTTAAGACACGCCCCCACACGGCCGTTTTGGACTCCCCTTGGTTTGTCAGATATGAGAGCAGTTATCAGGTCAACAGGTGTTGCAGCGATGGAAGCGGTCAAGAGAAGTGGTTCAGATAGAAGTGATTGTACCCGACCTAAAAAGCCTCTGCATGTTTCTAATAAGCTCCACGAGCAGAAACGTGCTCAAACTAGGATCAATATTGGAGATGCTTTTGAAAAATGGAGAGAGGTTAGAACACAGAAAGGTTTACAGACCCATGCAGAGCTGGATAAACACTGAAGCTTCAGAGTCCACCACATGGTGACCTGAGTGAGCATCCACTCTACAGAGGAGGGGGGGGGAGACAGCTCTATATGATGTTTAGTCTGCAGTACCCATTTTAAACACTAGGGGCCAGAGTTACATACAGCTCCTTCAAAATAAAGCAGATGTCATCGTTTTAAAACATGATTAAAAAGTATGTAATATTTTAAAGACTTTGAAGGTTTGGATTATTTTGAGCGAGGTCGTCTCAGTTTGTTATTGTGAGCCTGAACGTTCTTCAGTTTACCTGTGTGTCTCTCTCAGGTGTGAGCAGCTCGTTGTTTAATAACAGCGTGTGACGGTGGCTGACGTACGATGAATAACTCAGACAAAGTCATTTATACAAAAGAGTTTATTCATCACAATAGAAACTTCTTTCTCCTCAAAAAAAGAAACACAACACAGGATTCTTTCTATAAAACAAGTAGTTACAGCTCCCCCTTGTGGCTCTGAGTGATATTACAGCAGTGGTGTGTTTTAGAGTCTGTTGGGTCTCATGGAGTCCCTCATGGAGGTCTGTGTGAACAGGGAAGTTCTGTGTCTCTGACCTGATTCCATCCATGTGGAGTTTAGTCAGTGATGATGAGCTCATCACAGCCCCAGTCCTCATAACTCCCATCAGGGAGGTACCTGCGGATGATGATGGGGATCTTTCTGCTCCTGGAGGAAACAAAAAGAAATGAGAGGCTTTACCTCCTCCTGCAATAAAGACAGTGAGTTCATGTTTAAAGAAAGGTTAAAGAGATGATATGATGTGTTTCACTTACTTCAGCTCTTTCATTGCTATCTGCAGCGGGTCTGTTTCTCCCTCCAGCTCCACCATGACAGGAGCGCACATCCTGTTGGAAACAAGCAACAGCTCAATCATGTTCTGTTTTATATCCAATCAAGACACTGAACAGCCCTGTCTGTTATCTTTAGTGGGCGGGATCATTGTAACAGCGCCCTCACAGGTGAGGCGGCTACAGCTCGTCCAGAACGCATCACACCCGTTCTTTTCAATTCAATTCAATTCAATTCAAAAAACTTTATTTGTCCCCGGGGGGCAATTCAAAGGCACACAGAGCAGTAAATTAACAACAGTCCAAGTAAACAAAACATTTCAACCGAAATATAAAGTGTCAATTTAAATACAACTTAAAGCTTAAACTTAAAATACAAACTATAAAAGAGTAGATATAAGTGGACAGTGATCGGACTAACAGATGTAAACAGATGTAAACAGAACTATGTGCAGTAAATGATAAATAAATATATATATACAGAGCTATGTGCAGGTAGGCAAATACTAAATGATAAGTTATTAAGGTGAATAATGGAACAACAGAACTAATATAAACAATATAACTGTGAAGGTAAAAATTAGATAAATAAAGTGACCGTAGTGCAATGATGGATAAGAAACATCAGAAATAAATTAACCAGAACTGTATGAATACTGAAATAGAAAGGATAGAATAAAGTGATGTAGTGCATGAGACCAGATAAAGCAGAGGCAGTTAAGGTGCATGTCAATATAAAGGAAGTTCACAGCTGAGAGTCTGCATTGGGTGAGAGGTGTTGGTGTCTGTTGGGGGGTTAGGAGTTGAGGAGCTGGACCGCCCTGGGAACGAACGTTGATCTTCTCCTCTGTGTCCTGCAGCAGGGACAGTGAAGCCGGCGTCCTGAGGGGAGCCACTCAAACGCTGGGAAGAGAGCGTGTGAGGGGTCCTGCATGATCCGACCTGCTAGCCTGATTGTCTGTTGCTCATAGATCGATGTCAGAGTCCTTACAGGTAGCAAGTTAAAAGTTTGTCAGCCAGGATGTGAGGCTGCAGGGTGTTGAATGCAGAGAAGTCTGCAAACAGGAGTCTGGCTGAGGTGTTGGGGTGCTCCAGGTGTTTTTGAACAGTGTCTATTATGAATGTTTTTGCATCATCGACACCTCTGCCTGCACGATAAGCAAATTGTAGCGGGTCCATCCATGACTCGGTTTCTCTGATGATGTGTTGTTTTATGATCCTCTCCATGGCCTTCATCCCCAGAGACGTGAGGGCCACAGGCCTGAGGTCATTCAGTGATTTGGCGGGGCTTTTCTTGGGGATGGGGATAACTGTGGAGTGTTTCCACAGCTGGGGGACTGTGCTGCTGTCCATAGAGCTCTGGAACAGGGTCTGAAACACGCCCCCTAGCTGCTCAGCACAGTGCTTCAGGATGCAGCCACTGATGTTGTCTGGACCAGGTGAGCTGCTCTCACCACATCCTCTCTGCTGAAGGTGAGTGCAGAGTCACTGGGCTTGAGCATGGACACTGTTCCTTCCAGCTGTGTGGTGTTGTCCTTCTTGAATCTGGTGTAGAATGAGTTGAGATCGTTGGGGAGAGAAGTAGAGCTGCTGCCTCGATGGTTTTGATGTTGGTAGCAGCAGTGTTCACAGCAGCCATGTTTTTGAGGCCCTGCCAAGCTTTGCGGAGGTTCCCCTGTGTGAATTTTTCCTCCACTTTGTTCTTGTACTTGAGTTTGGCAGTTTTTATGGCTTGCTTGACTTCTCTGTTTACCTCCTTTTTCTCCATTTCGGAGCCGGTGAAGAAGACCCTTTTCTTCTTGTTGAGGACCTCCTTGAGTTCTTTGGGATCCAAGGTTTATTGTTGGGGTAGATTGTGACTGTTTTGGAGGGGATGATGTTGTCCACACAGAAGGAGATGTACGATGAAACAGTGTCCACATGCTCATTAATGTTGTTGGAGGGGGTCAAGAGGTTATCCCAGTCAGTGGATTCAAAGCATCCTTGTAGTGTAAGAATGCTTTCGTTGGTCCACTGCTTGATGTTCTTAACAACTTTCTTAACCCTCTTTATTACAGGAGTATATGCTGGAGCAAGCAGGACGGCATGGTGGTCAGCAGAGCCAAGAGGGGGGAGAGCAACAGATCTGTATGTGTTAGGAACTGAACCATAGCATTTATCCAGTGTCTTCCCCAGGCGGGTGCTGCATGTAATGTACTGCTGGTAGCCTTTTAGTGCTTTTTCAGGAGAGCAATGGTTGAAATCGCCCAAGATGAATTTGGGAGAGTCCGGTGATATGAGTTCCAGTTAATTTAATAAGTTTGTGATGTGTTCAGTGGCTGTGGCTGCGTTAGCTCTGAGGTGGATGTAAACCAGGATGAGAAAAAGCTGTGGGAATTCTCTGGGGAGATAGAAAGGGCGAAGGGAGACAGCCAGAAGCTCGATGTCCGAGGTGCACAGTTTCTCCCTCACGATGATCGTCGAGCACCAGCGTGTGTTTACATAAAGACACACGCCGCCGCCATGTTGTTTCCCAGTGAGCTCACTGTCTCGATCAAGTCTTAAAGGGGGGGAGAAGCCATCAACGTGCAGCGTGTTATCATCGTCGTTCTTATTAACCACGTCTCAGTAAAAGCGAGAACAGAGGCAGTCCTGTACTCATGCATGTGGTTAATGTTGGCCTGTAACCCGTTTTGTTGCGGAGGGAGCGTACATTAGCCAGGATGATAGATGGAAGCAGCCGTTGTTTACATGTCTCCCGTTTGAGCCTGGCTCTGATTCCTCCCTTTCTCTTTCCCCTCCTGGTTACCTTGTTATTTCTGTGAGTGGAGTTGTCTTGGCTGACTGAGTTATCCTGGAGAATTTCTTCAGGAAGCATGTCTGTGTTGATGGCGTGATGAGTTTTAAGTCCGAGCTGCAGCAGAATGTCTCTCTCGGTTCGCGACTCGCCAGGAACGTTGTTTCTGCTCGCAGTCACAAACTCCCAGAGGAGACAAACGTGCAGAAATGCCCCAAAAAGAATTTGTGGATCCATGCCAATTGTAAATAATTCCGGGGGATGAAAAAGAAAAGAAAGAAGAAGACTGCTGTGTGCTGTAGTCCGTTTGTCGCGGTGTTAACGGTTGTAAACAAAGAGCAGGGCTATGAGAGGACGAGCGCGGGAAAAAAGAAGTTCGCTTCGTCTGTGTAGTAGTGGTTAAAAGTTATAAAACACACACTTCCTGTGTGTCCTCTGGAAAAACCGTAGAAAAACAAAATAAACACTAAATAATTGCTCTGTGAGCCGGCCGGTCTTCCGCACGAGAAGCGACCTGGAACTGGAAGTCAAACGCTGCTCTGGCTCCCCGGGTCCCAGAGGGTCGGATTATATAATCCTGTTACTGGTTTTTAAATCACTTAAAGGTCTCGGCCTAAATACCTCCTCACACTGCATGAGACCCCCCAGACCCCCTCAGTGTGCCTAGGCCTCCACAGGAAGTGAAAATGAGAACAGGAGGGTCTTCTTCAGGTCGGGTTCTGTTAAACCTGAATGAATAATGAAGCGTTGATTCTGTCCTCACTCGTCCGTGAGCTTCAGATAAAAGAAGGAAAGAGGAAACACTCACGCTATCTGGAGAGCTCGCGTGCCGAGGACTCGGGCTCTCTCGTATTTGGTCATGTACGGTGTGGTAATCCTCTTCTGGTTCGCCTGCGAGCCTTCACCTGCGGGGAGGATCTGAACGTTCTCCTGGTCCTCCTGCTCGCCACAAAGCGTGTCAAACATCACACAGGTTTATAATCACACATCATTACATCATCACACACATTAATACACTCCTTTAAACACATCATTACATCATCACACACATTAATACACTCCTTTAAACACATCATTACATCATCACAGCTGTATATTTATCATCTCAATCTGCTGTTTGGAGTTATTAGTGAAACTTATTTAAATGTTGAATAAAGTACAGAAACAAAACATTTAACATCAAACTTACGTCTTCTGCGTTTTCCAGATCATCTAATCCTTCATCCTCCTCGCCATCGTCAAAGTCTCCGTCATCGAAGCTTCAAACACACACACATTAAATCAATAAACACACACACATTAAATCAACAAACACACACACATTAAATCATTAAATCAACAAACACACACATTAAATCATTAAATCAACAAACACACACACATTAAATCAACAAACACACACATTAAATCAACAAACACACACACATTAAATCAACAAACACACACACATTAAATCATTAAATCAACAAACACACACACATTAAATCAACAACACACACACATTAAATCATTAAATCAACAAACACACACACATTAAATCAACAAACACACAACATTAAATAACAACACACACACATTAAATCAACAAACACACACATTAAATCATTAAATCAACAAACACACACACATTAAATCAACAACACACACACATTAAATCACAAACACACACACATTAAATCAACACCACACACATTAAATCATTAAATCAACAAACACACACACATTAAATCAACAAACACACACATTAAATCATTAAATAAACAAACACACACACATTAAATCAACAAACACACACATTAAATCATTAAATCAACAAACACACACACACATTAAATCAACAAACACACACACATTAAATCAACAAACACACACACATTAAATCATTAAATCAACAAACACACACACATTAAATCAACAAACACACACATTAAATCATTAAATCAATAAACACACATTAAATCAACAAACACACACATTAAATCATTAAATCAACAAACACACACACATTAAATCAACAAACACACACACATTAAATCAACAAACACACACATTAAATCAACAAAACAACACACATTAAATCATTAAATCAACAAACACACACACATTAAATCAACAAACACACACACACATTAAATCAACAAACACACACACATTAAATCATTAAATCAACAAACACACACACATTAAATCATTAAATCAACAAACACACACATTAAATCAACAAACACACACACATTAAATCATTAAATCAACAAACACACACACATTAAATCAACAAACACACACATTAAATCAACAAACACACACATTAAATCAACAAACACACACACATTAAATCAACAAACACACACACATTAAATCAACAAACACACACATTAAATCATTAAATCAACAAACACACACACATTAAATCAACAAACACACACACATTAAATCAACAAACACACACACATTAAATCAACAAACACACACATTAAATCAACAAACACACACATTAAATCATTAAATCAACAAACACACACATTAAATCATTAAATCAACAAACACACACACTAAATCATTAAATCAACAAACACACACATTAAATCATTAAATCAACAAACACACACTTAAATCAACAACACACCATTAAATCATTAAATCAACAAACACACACATTAAATCAAAAC